CTGCAGCAATAAAAGGTTAGGTCCACTTTCCAGGCTGTGCCATTAAGATCCAGGATGGCCACACTGTAAAGAAAAAACCCATGCAAAACTGCTGGCTGGAACTTCCTGCTTTTTTTTTTGTTTTCTGTTTTTTATTTTTTTGTTTTTGTTTATTTATTTTTGTTTTGGCAGCCATGGAAGTTGAACTCTGGTCCCAGGATACGAGGATCAGCTGTGGCTCAAGGGGTTGCACCCAAGCCTAGTGTAGAATTGCCAAGACCTGAGTTCAAGCCTGGTGCCTGTCCAAAAAAAAAAAGGCCCTGGCTGGAACTTGCACCATTATTCTGCCTTCCCTGGGGTTTGAACTCAGGGGCTAGGTAACTTTGTTGCATTGGGCGTGAAGTGGGAGCTTACCATCCTTGAGCAAAAGAAATTCAGGCCCAGTTCTCAGGGCCTGAATTTAAGCCCCAGGACTGGCAAAAATAATATTTATATACATTTTAATATATAACATATATTTACATACATATTGTATATCGTATCTAAGACCCCAGACTTTCACACACACACACACATACACACATAAAAATTGGCTTCTTACTCTACCGATATATATTTGGCAATGCTGGGATTTAAAATCATTATATTGAAAGTAAATTTCCTAGATTGGTGCCTTTCATCATAGCTACTCTCTATTTCACCAATAGAAATACATCCTTTGCTTTGCTCTCTGCCTTCATAGTACCTGGGATTATAGGCATGAGCCATCATGTCTGGCAATTGCTGTTTTTTACAGGAAGACTGCCACAGGCAGTGCAAGTACAATGGAACCACACACTAGCTGTTGAGAACCATGGGACTCATATTCCACCCTACAAGGATTCACAGACAGAGTAAGGGTCAAGCAATGTAGTTTGATTGTGACTTGCTCAAGATCACACGCCTGGTTAGTAGCAGAGCTTGGGTGACAACCATGATCTCCGAGGATTTCCCTGTCCAATGAACATTTATCAATGCTATTCCAGACTTGACAGCCAACTACCAAGTTGCCACTCAAGGACAGGAGAAGTCAAAGCTGGTGCATCTCAAAGCATCAGTTAGGCTGGCCCTGATCCAAGTTGAATGGCCACAATAAGGAGCGCTGCTTCCAGCCTCCCCTCTTAATCATTCCTTCCAAATAATGATGTGTGGGTCAGGCATCTGGAAAAGTGAACTTCTTTCATCCCAGTAAAATCCCTCCTGACCTTTGGGCCACTTTTCCAGGAGGGACTTTACTTACCCCCAGATCCACTGAGTAGAACAAGGGGCAGGGGACAAGACCCCAGATGAGAGCTCCCAGGCAGTTCAGTGCAATCTTGAGCAGCGGGGCTGAGGGCTGGAGAAGGGAGTGCACAGCACCCTCCCCTGGCTGAACAAGGAGACAGCACAGTTAATCCAGCACCACAGGTTTGCCAAATACTTATTTTATCACCCCCTCGCCCCCGCCTTTTTTTTTTCTATTTTGGTACTGGGGTTTGACCCTTGATCCTGGGTACTATCCTTGAACTTTTTCACTCAAGGCCAGAATTCTAACACTCGAGTTGTCTTACTATTACTTGTGATATTTGCTGTCTAACTGGAGATGAGCTTCTTAGTTTATATTCTCAGGCTGGCTTTGAACCCCAGTCCTCAGATCTCAGCCTTTTGAGTAGCTATGATTATGGGCATGAGCCTCTGATATCTAGTCCAAAATGGTTCCTTATGCTGCCTAATCATTCCTAGTGAAACCTTTGCCCTTTTAAGATACATCTACTATCCTGTTGGTTTCCAAGGGATATGGTACTCACATAACATAAAAACTATATTTATATACCATATTTACCATAGCTAAGATATGGAACCAACCCAGATGCCCCCCAGTACATGAATGGATCAAGAAAATGTGGTATATATACGCAATGGAATTCTATGCCTCCATCAGAAAGAATGACATTGCCCCATTTGTTAGGAAATGGAAAGACTTGGAAAAAATTAGGTGAAATAAGCCAGGCCCAAAGAAACATAGGTCCCATGGTTTTCCTTATTTGTAATAACTAGTATATATCTGAGACAAGCAGAAAAGATCAGATAAGTTGATGTTAGGTGAAATGAACCCCAAGATAAGTATTCAAATGTTTTTTCTTTCATGTGATTGTTTCTAACGTATTTATAAGATGATTTCATTGTTGCTTTGTATGTCCCTCCCCTATGGTATAACTCCTTCTTTCACTGTATTTGATGTTGGTATAATTTGAGGAGGGGAAGGGAAAAAACAAATTGTTTAAATAGTGATACAGGTGGACCCATGGCAACAATGAGATGTATAAGACGTTATGTGGAAAAATGAACTTTACAACTTTGGCTGGCGGGTGGGGGAGAGGGGAAGGGATGGGAAGGGGAAACAAAGGAGGAGGCAACAATGCTTGATAAAAAATGTACTCATTATCTTGCCCATGTAATTGTAACCCCTCTTTATGGAATTTTCACAATAAAAAAGAAAGAACATAACTTTTCCTAAGGGTGACCTGCTAGGATGTATGGGAGGCAGAGTGAGTTCCAGTCTGAACTCTACTGCTCTCTTAGCAACCCATGGGAACAAAACTAAGTGAGAAACTTCTCCCAAATGCAGCATCAGTACTGGGAACACCTCAGAAACACTTTTCATGAGAAGAGTCAGAGAAATAGAAAAATGAGAAAGACTGACAATGTTTAAGATAAAACTTAATCTTGCTTAATAAAGTAATAGGAAGCTGAGGGCTGGTTGACTGCCCAGTATTCCTAGTTCCTTGGTTGGATCATGGTTTTTGGATAAGGCTGAATCTTACATCTGCAAAGTTGTAAATGTATATTTGCTGTCAGAGAGACTCTCCATTAATGTCTATTTTAGGCTCTAAATACCAAGTTGATAGCACCTCATCCACCATGGGCAGGGAAATGAATCTTCCAGATAGGGAGGCAGGCAGTCCAAACAAACTGATCCTTATCCATGTCCCCGGTCGCCTCCATAAGCCAGCATGACTTTACTACTCAGGCAGATCTGCGAGGCGCGCACGGCATAATCAGGACAGAGGATTTGTGGGCAGGAGACCACAGCCCATTGTAGGACGGAAAGGCTCTTAGCCACTTTGTTAATGAGAAGTGGAAACTGGGGCTGCAAGGAGTGGGGGTGTTGGGTAGAGGGGCTCAGTGTCCCAGCCAAGGCTCCCTTGTGGAAAGGGGTACCAACCCCGATTTAGATGGAGGCAGCAGTGGCTGTCAGATAGAGGCTGGAGAAACAACTGAGAGGATTCTGTTTTGTATGCAATTTGGATCCAGGCAGGCTAGAAGGCCTCCAGAAACTCTTTGAGACTAGTTTGAGAACAAGCTCAGGGTGCATGAGAACAAGGTAAGAAGCACTGTGTTGGGGCAGATAACAAAGGGATGCTAACAGGAGGTTTACAAACAAAACAAAACAAACAAAAACCCCAACTGCTGCAGGCAGTAGCCTGCCAGGATCAGAGGTGTGCACAGCTGTCCTAAGAGATAGACTCAGCAGGTCAGGCAAGGACAGCCAGAGCCAGTGGCTTATGGGCACCTGTGAGGTGTTCAGGCTCAAGGACGCCACTCCCACACTCCCTCAGGTCTGCCTTAATTAAGGGACCTATGTAAATGAGGGAAAATGTACTCCCTTAGCCTCTACAAAGACAAAAACCACATCCCCAAACTAGATTCTAGCATCTAATTTAGTAAGGCCTCTCCTGAAGCAGATGTGTGAGCTATAGCCAGTCAGAACCCACACAGGACCAAACCTCCCTCTCTTAGCCAACTCCCATTCCTAGAGTGCATTCTCTCTACCTAAGGACCCTGCTCCACATAGGACAGCTAGAGACTACCAGCACCCACAAAGACTGAGCCACACCCTCTCACCAGAGCCCTTCTTCTCCCTGTGGTCTCTTCTGTATCAGTCCAGATGCTGCAACCGATTAACAATGGAGAGTATCTCAATATGAAAGCAGTTCAATGAGCCACAGCTGGACTTGATGTGACTAGCAGGTGGGGTTCTTTTCTGTTAACTGACATTCTGTGACCTTGACTGTGTGTGACTTGCAGAGACAGAGAAGCACCATGAGAGCTGCAGTTTTGAGTCTTAGCTCTCAATGTGCTCATCTTACTATTATTTTTTGTTGGTTGTGGGGCTTGGGGTGCCATCCCTGAGCTCTTCTGATGAAAGCACTTTGAGTCACAGCTGCACTTCTGGTCTGTTAGTGATTAGAGATAAGAGTCTCATGTGGACTTTTCTGGCCGGGCTATCGTCGAACCATGATCCTCAGATCTTAGTCCTCTACAAGAGGGACAGCCCCTTCTTTGCCACCGAATTGGGCATTTTGAAGGCTGTGGAGCACCTGAACATCGTGAAGCCCTACGAGGTGGTAGAAAAAGAAGAGCGATTGTACTTGGTGATGGAGTACCTTAGATGGAGGAGACTTACTGGACCACTTGCAAAAGGTGGACACGCTGGGGGAGGATGAGGTCAGGCTTGTGTTTAAGCAGATCTTGACGGTAGTCAAATACAGCCATGACAATGGCATTGCACACAGGGACATCAAGGAAGAAGAAAATATCCTGTTGGACAGCAGGAGCTGTTATGTGACTTTGGGCTGAGGACAAGTTCTCACCCAGGGAGCAGCTGGACAGGGAGTGTGGGGCTCTGGCCTATTGGGCCTCTGAGACGTTCAAGCAGCGGAGTTACCAGGGCTACAAGGTAGATGTTTGGAGCCTGGGAGAGCTGCTGTATGCTACATGGTCGTGGGCGATGTGCCCTATAAAGGGGGTCATGGATTGTGATAAAAAAACAGGTTTGGGGTGGCAAGTTTATGCAAGAGCTTGTTTAGCCTCCAGCTTCTCCTCTGCCATTTTCCTGGAACTTTGGGGTGGCAAGTTTAAAATAGAAAAATGCTTTCCCCCTAAACTCTGAGAAATTTAGCCTATCTGATGACTGTTGATCCTAAAGAGAGACTGTCGGTATGGCAAGTGATGCGCCACCCCTGGTTCAGGCCAACAAAACAGCCTCACCAAGCCCCAGCCAGACTGTTGTGAACCAGCCAGACCCCACCATCCTGCACAGCATGGCCTCTTCCATGGACTTTGACCCACAGGAGGTGTGGGCAGCCCTGTCTGGCAGAACAGTTCATACCAGCATGGCAACATAAAGGATTTTACAGGAGCAGCAAGACCAGGGTAGAGACCTGACCTGCCTGCTGAGATGCTGCTCCCTGGGCGTCCACCTTGCCCCTCGCCTTTTAAGAGAGCCAGTGCTCCTGTGCGCCACCCTGCTGCTTGCTACCCACTGATCAGCAGCAGGAGGAGGGTGGCAGGAAAGGCACCATGTCTATGTGCCTCCCCTGCTGCCTCTGCAGCCCCTGTACAACCAGCACAGAGGGGGAGACTGAGGGCAGCAAGCCTCCCCCTGCTCCAGCAGCAGCAGCAGCAGCAGGAGCAACACCTCCCCTCCCCATGGGCCACTCCAGTGAACTGACCTGCCCAGCCCCTGAGCAGGAGAGGCAGGTGGGCAGCAGGGCTGATTCTCTCCCCCGTATCCTGTACAATAGGTGGATGGGGGCACACAGGGGGAGAAGGACATCAGCTTGGCTGCCCCAGTTCCAGGTCCAGAAGCATCTGATGCAAACTGGAAGGGCTCAGGGGAGACAGAGGAGAGCAGCAAGCTTCCCTCAGGATCACCAGCAGCAGAAACATCTACCAGGGCCACAGAGGCAGCGGTGGAGGGCAGCGCCCTTTCTCCCCTGGGTCCTGCAGCTGCAGAAACATCCATTCCAGCAAAGGAAAGTGGCAGGGTCTGAAAACGGCTAAAGAAGAGTATTGTTAATTGTTTCTAAAAACTGTGCTGCAGCTGTTGCTTGCCTTAAGAGAACCCCACAGAAAGTGCTTCTTCCTGTTCGTGAAAACCAGTGTTGACAGCCTGGACACCAGTAGGCGGAAGGGCATGGGTAGCACCTGTCTATTGAGTGTGCAACTTCTGTTTAGGATGAGGAGAAGGGGAAAAACAAAAAAGAATAAATGCAAATAGAACAATAAATGAACTCCAAGATATGGACACAAGAGGTTTTTCTTTGTCGTCGTTGTTTTTAATGTACTATGTGATTTTTTGGTGTGTCTTTTGTAAGTCCTTCCCCCTATGATATATCCTCTGTTGCCATCGTATTTGATCTTGGTCCCCTGCATCTTGTATATACATTTATCTAATTTGGAGAGGTGAAGGGGAATAACAAAATGCTGAAACAAGGACACAGGGTGACCCATTGCAACAATGATATAAGACACTATGTTGGAAATAAACTCTATAACTTCTGGGGGGTGGAGAATTAGGGGAGGTGGGGGTAGGAAAGGATAGGAGAAAAAGGAAGTAACAATGTTCAACAAGAAATGTACTCTTTACCTTACTCATGTAACTGTAACCCCCCTGTACAGCATCTTTACAATAAAATTTAAAAAAGAAAAAACATATTAAAACAAAAATTTAAAAACCCTCTTATTTCCATTTCTTGGAGGTCATTTTGATAAACATCATTTTACATGGTCACATGCACTTAGCTATTGATTCTCTCCTAAGATCCTTTGTTCTCAGTGCACAAATGCTTATAGTGCTGTTTAATTGATCATATCCAAGTATAATTTGCCTCTTACTATCCACTGGATTAACTTGTAGATCTATAAACATATTCTAGCTATTACAAATAAGGGAAACTATGCAGCCTATGATATTTTGGGGCTTCCTCACATCACTTAATATAATTTTTTCTTTGGATTTTCATTTTCTTTTGCCAGTACTGGGACTTAAAGTTAGGGGCTCAGGCACTTGCTCAGTTCTGGCTTCTTGGTGATTTACTGGAGATAAGAGTCTTAGGCATTTCTCCTGTTTGGCTTCAAAACACTGTCATCAGATCTCAGCCTTCTGAGTAGCCACAATTATAGGAGTGAGCCACTGGCATGGTCTCTAATATCAACTCTTAACAAAACAATGTGCACATCTAACCAAGCACTAAGGCAGCACTGGCAAACCACTTTGTGTCTCTCCTACTATGTAAAGTAGACATAGATTTTGTGCAAATATATTAAGATCTCCCTTTGGATGGTTGGTTCTGGTACTGACAGTTGTTAATCTGTAGCAATGAGGAGCACCTTTATTAAAACATGACTTGGACAGGCCAACCTTATCTTTGGGAAAGGGAGAGTGATGTCTGCTGGATTCCAGCCTGGGGCAGGAAGAACTGCAAGAAAATAGGAGAGGCTGACTGGGTGGAAGAAAAGGCCATGGGAACAATGATGATGTGGACACAGTGAAGATACAGGGCACACAGACTGCTACTGCTCTGACTAACCCACAGTAACCCATCTTCACTTTACAAGAACCCCCTGCAGTGTCCCTGCAGGCCTTCCATGCCCCCAAGCCCTGCTCATGACTGCTGCTTCCTTTGCTGACCATCACTCATGATTACTCTGCCCCAGCCAAAGGGACCTGCCAGGCACTCCAGCCTCGGGGGCTCTGCACTGGCCACTGGAGAGGCCAGAACTTCATTGCCTATGCCTACACTCATGACCACTTCCTCACAGGAAGCGTTTGCTGACTGTTAAATATATATTTAATCTATAATATTTAATCTATAATATAATATATATAGTATAAATGATGCAATATACTATATTAATATATAACATCTACTATATAATATAAATATTCAAAATATAATTATATGATTACATAGTTATATAATCATATATAATCATAATTATATAAGCATATAATTGTATTATATTTATTTTATATGTATTATATATTTATTATAATTATATAATCATAAATATATGATCAGTACTATATAAGTATATATAATATATAGTATAATTATATACTATATATTATACAATATATATATTTATATGTGTTATATATTATATATAACATTATATATTATATGTTATATAATATGTAATCTATATTGATATATATCAATTCTATAGACATATCCTACATTGATATATTGTATATTAATACATATAATTATGTATATCAATTCACTTTTTTCCAAAGCATTTAATACCATCTTAGTTTGTTTTCCTTCTTTCTTCCTTTGGCTCTTTGCTTCTTTCTATCTTTCTTTCTGTTCTGCTTTCCTTCAGTCTTTCCTTTCTCCCTCCCTTGTATTCATGTAGTCTTCATTCCTACTCTTATGTGAATATGGCTACTACAGGACAGCTACATAAGAGGAATTCAGTAGATATTCCTAAACGAATAAGGGAATCAAGGAGGAAGCAAAGAAGAAAGAACCAAAACCCTGCTACAGTGCACAAAGTTGTTAGAAGTGTTCAATTAAAGAAGGACATATTGGGCTGGGAAGTTGGCTCAGTGGTAGAGCGCTTACCTTGCATGCCTGAGGCCCTGGGTTCGATTCTTCAGCACCACATGAGCAAAAAGAAAAAAGCCGGAAGTGGCGCTGTGGCTCAAGTGGTAGGGCACTAGCCTTGAGCTGAAGAGCTGAGGGACAGCGCCCAGGCCCAGAGTTCAGGCCTCATGACCGGAACAAAAACAAAAAAAAAAACAAAGGAGGACATATTGAGACATGCTATCATTTCTAAATTTTATAATATTTCATTATGTTGAAGTAATTTCAAAAGCAAACTCATGAGAGTATTAAGTATCTTTAGAATTTTAGGGGTGTGGGAAGACAAATGTTCATCTCTAAATGTTTATAAATGAGTGCTTGAGCTTAGAGATTGTTAAAGTTATCATTTGATATCTAATGGCAACTTCACCTTTTTCATAGTGCTTTTATTTCTACCTTGAAAAAAGTAGGAAAGAGTAAGTAATGAAATAATAAAACACTATGTGATCCACAATATAAAAGAATAATGATCAGCAATTCAATGAGTCAAACCCCGGGACTTACTGTCCTGAAACTGTAGCTGGAGAGGCAGGAGCGGAACTGATTCCAGGCATCTGCATGAGATTAGGACATCAGGCAAGAACAGCTGCTTTCAGATACAGAGGTAAAGAAGCACTGCTGCCAGGTGCTTTCCAGTCCAGGAAAACATTCTCAAACCACAGATGTTACTTTGAATCAAGTCAGGGCCTAGGATCTGTCAAACTGGATTAGAGCAAGATTGTCCAGCTGTGGCCCATGCAGCCACCACTGTTGCACACAGTATGCATGGAAAACAGGAGGGAGCACACAGGAAACAATGGTCAAAAGCCCACCTGTACCAGCACAGAGCAGGTAGGATTCAATGCATTGCCTGCATTATAGAAAGCTGAAGAACAAACCTGTGGTAGATGTGAGACCACCAGAAAGGATGAAGAAAGGAAATAGACTCAGTTCCTTACTTCTCAGGTGGCTCTTTCTCTGGTCCTCTTTTTGTCAACTTATGCCTGACTCTTGTATGATGTGATAGTTACATAATACTGATTATTGTTTTCTAGGTGTGGGGAAAGCAGGGTAAGATTAACAAAATAAGGACCATGGATTATGCTTTCATAAATTATACCATTTAATCTAATAATAATTTCCGTGTGAACATCTACAGAATTTACAATTTCATGATAACAGAATTAGGTCCCAAGAAGAGACTAAGGGGAAAAATGCTCTTTTTTCCTTCCAGTTTTGGTAACTGAGAAGATGTGAGGATCACTTTATCTCATTCTGGACAGGGAAGGTCCTATTTAGGCATGATCAAGGTGGTAGTTCTTATCCCTTGCAACACCCATGATCTCTATGCATTTCCCTGTCCAATGAACATTTATCAAGCAATGCTATCCCAGACTTGACAGCCAATTTCCAAGTTGCCGCTCCAGCACAGGAGAAATCAAAGCTGGTTCATCTCAAAGGATCAGTTAGGCTGGCCCTGATCCAAGTTGAAAGGCCAGACTAAGGAGCACTGCTTCCGGCCTCCCCTCTTATTCATTCCTTCCAAATAATGATGTGTGGGTCAGGCATCTGGAAATGTGAAAGATGTCTTTCATCCCAGTAAAATCTGTCACCAATTTTGGGGCACGCTGCTTCCATTTTTCTAGTTCCTGGAGGAACAAGACCCCAGATAAGAGCTCCAGGGCAGTTCAGTGCAATCTTGAGCAGCGGGGCTGAGGGCTGGAGAAGGGAGTGCACAGCACCCTCCCCTGGCTGAACAAGGAGACCGCACAGTTAATCCAGCACCACAGGTTTGCCAAATACTTATCCTTTTTTTTCTTTTTTGGTTACTGGGGCTTGAACTTGGGTACTGGGCAATATCGTCGAGCTTTTTCACTCAAGGCTGGAACTCTAACACTTGAGTCATCTTATCATTACTTGTGATTTTTGATGTCTAGGTGGGAATAAGTTTCTTAGGTTTAATTGCCGAGGCTGGGTTTGAATCCCAGTCTTCAGATCTCAGCCTTCTGAGCAGCTAGGATGATAGGCATGAGCCACTAGTACTCAGCCCCAAATGTTTCTTCATGCAGTATGCTCAATCCTAATGCCTACCCTTTCCCTTAAAAGACACATCTGCTATCCCATTGGTTTACTTGGAACATGGTGCTCACATAACCTAAGAAAATAACTTTTCCTAAGGGTGGATGGCTAGGATGTGTGGGAGGCAGAATGAGTTCCAATTTGAACTCAACCTCTCTCATACTTAGCAACCCGTGGGAACAAAATTGAGTGAAAACCTGTTCTCTAGAATGCAGCCATCAGTACCATGAGTATTTCAGAAACACTTTTCATGAGAGGAACCAGAAAAACATCAAAATGAGAAAGACTGACAATGTGTAGGATAAAAGTTAAAGTAGCTCAATAAAGCAATTGTAAGACTAGGGCTGGTGAGTGCCCTTACTCCTAGCTACTTGGGAAGATCATGGTTTGAAGCTGGCCCTGGCAGAAAAGTTCCTGAGATCCCCTCTGGGCAAACCCATAGCTGGGAGCTGTGGCACACTCCTGTCATCCTTATGCGGGAGGCTAAGACTAGGAGGATCATAGTTCTAGGCAAGCCTGGGAAAAAAGAGTCCATGAGACTCCATCTCAATGGAAGAAAGCTGGATGTGGTGACACATTCCTGTCATCCCAGCAACTATAGGAAGCCTAAGATAAGAGGATCAAGGTCCAGGTACCCACAGAGGAAGGAAGTGAGATATCTTAAAATAACAGGTGAAAAACAGGGCTAGAAATGTGGCTTGGGGGTATAGTGTGTCTCTAGCAGTGTGTGGCCTTGAGTTTAAGCCCTAGTACTGCCATCCTCATCATTAGCATCATCAAACTCACACTGCCTTGCCTTGAGTCTCTCACAAATAATACAATTATTCCTTCTCATTATTCCAATTGCTGTGTTGATCTCACTTGGAGAAGGTAAGGAGGAATTGCTGATGAAAGTCCAGAAACTAATTAAATTGTATTCAGTTGTGAATTTATCCACAACCATTGCCTCATTTTCATTGGCCCCCTTCTACCTGTCGTCTAGCTCTTTTACTGTCCCATTCTAAAACAGAATTCTCACAACGTGGTCACTTGGTATGACCTGAAATTTATGCAACCTTTTCTATAGGTGTATGTTGTTCCTTCCCACATATATCCCCATGCTGGGAATAAAGTCCCAAACATTGCCAGACTGTGGGAAAAAAAGAAAAAGAAAAGACTTCTCTTCACTGTGTTTCAAAGATGAAGTGAGGGAGATGATGATGATGATATCCACAATGAAAGACCGGAAGAAATTGGTTCCTGAACATATACTTGAAAAGAGGATTAAAAGAGTTTATGAAATTTGGTTCCTGGTGCAAAAGAATAAAACCTAGATAAAGACAGTTTGGGGAGCACCAGAGAGTGAAATTTATCTATGTTGACTTTGTCTTCTTCCATTAGTTTGAAACTAATGAAAAGAAAATCACTATTTCTTCCATTTCTAATTTTTGTTCTTGATAGTGACTATTAATGGCAGGAAAAACATATTTTCTTTTTAAAATATCTTAATATTTTTAATTAAAACTTTATTTTAAAGGTGATGTACAGAAGGGTTACAGAAGTAAGGCAATGAGTATATATCTTTTTCAACAGTGCTACCACTTTCCCTCTTTTTCTCTCCCCTCCCCTCCACCTCCCTCCCCAAGTTGTAAAGTTCACTTCCAACATACTGTCTAGTGAGTATCAGTGTTAAATTGGTTCACTCTTTGTCTCACCATTTCTGTGATTCCCCTTTCCTTTCTCAAACATATAAACCTCAATACAAAATAAAGGGTACAGAAATAAACACTGACAACCAGAAATAAACCAAGTAGAAAAAAGAAAAGAAAAGAAAAGAATCGAAAACAGAATTGTAAAAAAAATCTTGTTTCCATTTCTTGGTGTTTATTTCAATAAGCATCATTTTATATGATCATATGCTCATAGCTATTGAGCCCTGGTGATCCTCTCCCAAGAATATCCTCCTTTGTTCTTAGTGTGCAAATGCTTAGAGTGTTGTTAAATTAATCATGTCCAAGTATAATGAATTGACTTTTACAATCCATTGGATTAACTTGTAGACTTATAGACATATTCTAGTTATTATAATTGAGGGGAAACATGCAGCCAGTGTTTCTTTGGGTCTTATTTACCTTGCTTAATGTAATTTTTTCCAAGCCTTCACATTTCCTTATGAATGGGATGATGTCATTCTTTCTGATGGAAGCATAGAATTCCATTGTGTACATATACCACATTTTCTTTTTTTGACATTTAAAATAGATTATTATTATTATTATTGTCAGTATTGTCAGTTGTGGGGCTTGAACTCTGGGCTTGGGCGCTGTCCCTCAGCTCTTCAGCTCAAGGCAAGCGCTCTACTGCTTGGGCCTCATCGCCACTTCCAGTTTTCTAGTGGTTAACTGGAGATGAGTCTCTCAGACTTTCCTGCCTGGGCTGGCTTTGAACCATAATCCTCAGATCTCAGCCTCTTGAGTAGCTAGGATTACAGGCATAAGCCACCAACTCCCGGCTAGATTGTATTTTATTAATAATAATAATTATTATTATTTTATTATTTTGGGTCCGGTCATGGGGGCCTGAACTCTGGGTCTGGGTGCTGTCCCTCAGCTCTTCAGCTCAAGGCTAGTGCTCTACCACTTGAGCCACAACACCACTTCCAGCTTTTTTCTTTTTGCTTATGTGGTGCTGAGGAATCGAACCCAGGGCCTCAGGCATGCAAGGCAAGCACTCTACCACTGAGCCACCTTCCCAGCCCTGATTGTATTATTATTGTAATAGTGATGTATAGAGGGTTTACAGTTACAAAAGTCAAGGTATTATGTACATTTCTTTTTGAACCATGACACTCCTTCCCTCCCTCTCTCCCAGTTTTTCCCTCTAGTCTCCACCCACAAGATACATAATTTATTTTCCACTAGTGTCTATTGAGCACCACTGTTGAATTTGTTTATTCTTTGTTACATCTTTTCTGTGCCAACCTTCCCCTCACAAAGACAAATAAAGTAACAGATAAGACAAAAGAAAAGACAACAAAAACTGCAACAACATAGACAACAAGTTTCTTGTTTCCTTTTCTTGGAGTTCATTTCATAAAACATTATTTTACATGATCATATGCACATAGCTATTGAGCTTTGTGATCTTCTCCTATGAATATCCTCCTTAGGTCAGAGAGAGAGAGAGAGAGAGAGAGAAAGAGAGAGGGGGAGAGAGAGAGAGAG